TATATATATATATATATTATATATGTATATATTACATTTTTAATTGTGAGGACAAATACATTTGACATTAATTTGGATTTCATTCATTTTCCTTTGGCTTAGTCCCTCATTCATCAGGGGTCGCAACAGCGGAATGAACCGCCAACTATTCCAGCATATGTTTTACGCAGCAAATGCCCTTCCAGCTGCAACCCAGTACTGAGAAACACCCATACACATTTATTCACACACAACACGAACACACACACACATTAACATGGGGAGAACATAATTTGAATCATGAGAGGAAAAAAAACTGAATTGTAACATATAAATAAAAATATTATATTAATTTTGAGATGAAAGTCGTTGTATTAGTTAAATTATATAAAATTAACTCAGAATTATGATATACAGTTGGAGTCAGAATTATTAGCCCCCTTTGATTTTTTTTTTTCCTTTTTTAATTTGTCCCAAATGATGTTTAACAGGGCGAGGACATTTTCACAGTATGTCTGATAATATTTTTCTTCTGGAGAAAGTCTTATTTGTTTTATTTTGGATAGAATAAAAGCAGTTTTTAATTTTTTTAATCCATTTTAATCCATATTATTAGCCTCTTTAAGCTATTTTTTCCCCCCGATAGTCTACAGAACAAACTATTGTTATACAATAACTTGCCTAATTACCCTAACCTGCCTAGTTTACCTTATTGACCTAGTTCAGCCTTTAAATGTCATTTTAAGCTGTATAGAAGTGTCCTGAAAAATATCTAGTCAAATATTATGTTCTGTCATCATGGCAAAGATAAAATAAATCAGTTATTAGAGATGAGTTATTAAAACTATTATGTTTAGATATGTTTAAAAAAATCTCTCCGTTAAACAGAAATTGGGGGAAAAAATAGGGGGGCGAATAATTCAGGGGGCTAATAGTTTTAACTTCAACTGTACATTCAAGATATACATTTATAATTATGTGGAAAAAAGTCAGAATTTTTTTGTAATTAAATTTGTTAAACTTTGTTTAATGAAAAAACTTTTTTTTTTTCAAAAATAAATGCAGCATATATGAACACATACAGACCCTTAGAGTCTCGGATATGTTACCAGTTTTGGAAAAACTACACAGATCATACATTCAGGCCTTATTTGGGTTCAAAAACAACACGCAACATAGCCCACAGCCAGAGCAAACCTCCCATGTGTGTTTATAATCTTCAGCAGCACATGTAGCCTCTGTTAGAGAGTAATTCTGTCATTCCGAGTTCATAATAGTCCATAAAGCGATGATAAACGTGGCTGTTTGTTCGTGATTCAGGTTGCTGAAACAATTTGCTCCTGTGTTTTGTCGGGCTTCTCATTTGTTTGCGCTTCACTCTCGCGTTTGTCCTTTTCTTTCTGAATGGATCAGATGACGAAGACACTTCAATAATCACGCACACATTATTATCAGCTCAAGAAGTTCGTTATATCAAATATACATGCGATCGCAAGCTTCCTGGAGAAAGCGAAAACCGCTTGCACTTTTAGACGGCCACATAAAACAACAACAGGACACGGCAGGTTTTGTTTTTCTTGGCTTTGTATCTGTACATCAAGAGAACGACAAGGTTTGTTTGAGCTCGGGTAATCCATGGCTCGTTATTATATGCATATAGTATTACAATGTAATGTCTCGCCTGTGTATTTAAAACATGGTGGTTTCTTTGTTTTCATTCTGACTAGCTCTGTATCTCTGTAACCAATCAGCGTTCAGCTGCACATCTAGCTCTGCCTTTTGGTACCCTTTCTTGTGTTTGGTACCCTTTGGAAAGAGTGCCGAAAAAGTGGTACAGTACGGTTTGGTACACCTTTTGACAGTGAAAATGGCAATAAATATACCGAACTGTACCGTACCACTCATGGGACATGGGCTATCAGGCACTCATCCAGTGGCCTCGAGCCAATGCACGCCTCCCACCAGTGCCGATACACAGCTATATCACACTGCTACTCGCGTGATATTGCTCATATATCAGTTTTTCAATATGGAATTGCAAAAAAAAAAGAAAGACATTTTCTTCTCAAGTATTCTTCTCTGCTTTTTATCTGAAAGTGCAGTTACAATATGATCAATTGGATTTACTACTTTTTTTAAGGTAGGGGTTACAAACAAAGTTAAAGTTAGCAATGTTTAACTTAATTAGTTTGTTTAAATTCAACCCATATGCATTGTTTGCAATTGCCTTACCTTACTTAAGTCCAATGAATCATTGTTTTTCAGTGTATGTCGTGAACGGGCCTATAACTCGTGTCCGGAGGGAATGTGAACATGGAGGCTCAAAATGGCGAAGGTCAACACCTGTGAGCTAAAATCAGCGCCAGTGCAGAGAGATCGAGAGATTTACAGAGACGGAGGGCTGAAACTCAACTCTCAGACTATTTCAGTGGCACACAGAAGCTGGAAATAGACTCGCTGCTTGTGTGGCTTCACATCCATGTAGGAGATGCGTGAAATGACAGCGTAAGCAGATCGACACACTCAAGGTCAGTGATTATTCCTGAAAAACCACAACAAAGACACAAAAACAAGCTTTGTTGCTTCAATGAAGAGCCTTTCCACATCCATTGAAGCCTTTCTTTAAGTCCACGTTTTGAACACAAAGTTGGAAAAAAAGCAACAAATATTTCCCAAGCGATGTTTAACAGCAAGGTATCTCTCACAGTATTCCCTAAAATATTTTTTCTTCTGGAGTAAGTCTTATTTGTTTTATTTCGGCTAGAATGAAAGCAGTTTTTATTTTTAAAAACCATTTTAAGGTCAATATTATTAGCCCCCTTAAGCTATATTTTTTTCAGTTGTCTACAGAATGAACCACTGTTAAACAATGACTTGCCTATAATTGCTGCATAAAACATACGCTGGAATAGTTGTCGGTTCATTCCACTGTGGCGACCTCTGATAAATAAGGGACTAAGCCAAAGGAAAGTGAATGAATGAATGAATGAATACCCTGCTGAAAAAAACAGCTTGAACCAGCCTAAGCTGGTTGGCTGGTTTTAGCTTGTCGACCAGCCTGGTTTTACAGGGGTTTGGGCCATTTCCAGGCTGGTTTCCAGCCATTTCCAGCCTGGTCTTAGATGGTCAGGCTGGAAAATGACCAGCTAAAACCAGCTTGACCAGCCTGGTTTTAGCTGGACATAGCTGGTTTTGGCTGGGCTCCCAGCTGGCTAGGCTGGTCAAGCTAGTTTTAGCTGGTCATCTCCCAGCCTGACCAGCTAAGACCAGGCTGGAAATGGCTGGAAACCAGCCTGGAAGTGGCCAAAACCCTTCTTAAACCAGGCTGGTCGACCAGCTAAAACCAGCCAACCAGTCTAGGCTGATTTAAGCAGTTTTTTTCAGTAGGGTACATCTAAGAGCAAAACGTAAAATCACAAAACAAAGCTATGATATTAGCTAATCTGTTGATTAACAGATTTTTTCGCTCTACTTTAACTGGAGAACAGCTTCATATACAGTAATGTCCTTCAGCTGTACCTGACTGTATACTATAATGCAGCATGAGGACTAGTGTTAATGTTTTATTGCTCATTAGTGTTTTAGTGTGGCTCCAGCTGCCGGTGTATGTTTGATGCAGCTGTTCCTCCTCCTTGAAAGACCTGCTATTGTGTGCATTTCCATCCGCGAGGTCAAAGGTAGTGAATCGAGCGCTTCAGAAACAGGTGGAGATGGTGACGCGACGCCGCATCTGCTGCCAAACAGCTGAATAATGATAATCACGCAGAGGAATCCTTAAAACAGGAGCGCTTCTGCTGATGTGTGTGTGTGTGTGTGTGTGTGAAGCTAAAGAACTTCATGCATTATCAATATAGGATAGAAGAGAGCCATTTACAGATCCTAAAGCGACACTTCAGTTATGTGTGACTGTCAGAAATTAAAATCCCTTTTTTGTGTTTTTTTAATTATCAAATGTGAATCGTTGTTTCTTTACAGTAATTAGAATGTGAATGAATACAGTTGAAGTCAAAATTATTAGCCCTCCTGGGTTATTAGCCCCCCTGTTTATATTTTTCCCCCAATTTCTGTTGTTTTTCAACGAAAAAATTTTTTGAACAAATTTCTAATCATAATAGTTTTAATAACTCGTTTCTAATCACTGATTTATTTTATCTTTGCCATGATGACAGTAAATAATATTTTCAACCCAGGCTTATTCTGATTACGTACCTTTGTATTCATTTCTGGAGAGCGCTAAATATGTCCCAGGAGGTACGTTTTTTTTTTGCAGTTTTTGTTTTCGCGAATCCACCAGAGGCCGCTGTGTATGCTTTTTCAGATCTCAAATTTCGCTCACGAGTGCCATTCTTGCCTACTGTTCTCATGTAAATCCACCAGAGGCTGCTGATGACTGACTGAAGGCTGATTTATACTTCTGCGTCAAACACCGGTGTATGCTACGGCGCTGACGCATAGCCCTTCGCCGTGGCCGTCGCCGTCACTGACGTGCACCTCTCAAAAAATGTAACTACACGTCGCAACGACGCGTAGCGCAAGCTCTGTGATTGGTCGGCTTAGTAGCGCTGACGAGTCGGGGCGGGACCGAGAGCCGCGCGAACTCAATGTAGCGATTGTTTACAAGTGTGGAGTCCCGTGAAGGAGCTCCGGATGGAAAGTTTTGTTTTGTGTTTACCTCATAGTTAAAGTTGTTGCACGTCCGCCGGTTCCTGCCTCAAAATGAGCGAGTTTGAACCACTTGTACATCCAGGAAGTGTTCAGGAAAAGCAAAACAACAGTGAAGAAATTCGACACAGAGGAACATTTACACCTCACTGCCCACTAGCGTTTCGGAAGTGTTAATGCAGACCGACAGAGACAGCGCGCAGAAGTATAAATGCACCGCTACGCGCGTTGCATGCGCCGTGGGTCACGCCGGTCACTTGACGCAGAAGTATAAATCAGGCTTAACCCACCCTCCTCCTTCCCTAAACCCAAACAATATTGTTTTCCAGGGCTTAATTTGTGCCTGGCTTTTTTTTTGCACCTCACCTCAGTTATTCAACACATTTTCTAATCATATTACAACAGCGTTTTTAAAAGACACCTTATTGATAAAGTGTACAACCAAACACATGGTCAGAACACAAACGAGTCGCAGGTAATAAAGTATTAAGCGTTTCTCCCAAAGAAAAACCTGTCTATGCAAAATGCTAACAGGCATCTGTAGCTCCGCTCATGCTCTGCCTCTTTGCCCTTGTTTGGTATCTCCCGGTTGGTGCGATGACGCGTAAACAAAATGACGACGGTTGGCCACGCCTACTTGTAGCTTTATTTGCGCTCTTCAGAAACCTGTGGGTGACGTGCTACATCCATATCTTTTACAGTCTATGAAAATCGTAACCGTCTGAAAACCTTTGGCAGGCTATTTTCAACACACTATAGATTTGGGACATACTAATTCTATTTTTGAACACTATTTAGGATGGATAGTACGCGAATTGGGAAGAAGTTTATGATTGGTGAAATTTTATGTATAGCATCATGGGTAATGTAGTTTTTCTGATCAAATTCATATAGGAGGAATATGTTTTGAAATGCGTTCTGAATTCATGTGAACACGCGGCTTCAACGAAAGCAGGCATAATCGAATAACAAACTCAGAGTTCACAACAGCCTTCGAGTCATTTCTTTAAAAGAAAAACTCTGTAAATCTGTAGGTTTGCCTCTAGAAGCTAAAGTAGGGAATCCCGGTGTGTGTCCCTGAAGCAGGGAAGCGCATGCGCAGATGACGCAGCTGCTGGTGGCTTTCTGACAGGTGGCGGCGACCGCAGGATTTTCCTCCACCAGAAATGTCACCTCTTTCCAAGGCCGGGATATTCAGCGGGGACGCGATTAGAGCTCGTCTCTCAACCTTTGAGTTCCTGTGAGAATGAGAGGCAGAAGTATGTGCTTCAGCACATGGTCTGGATGTCGCTCGTGCCGCGCGAGTCTGAGGCCGATCAGCCGCGGGACAACTGCGCGTCATCTGTCAGAGACCCGTCCCGCTGGAGCACAGATTGTGTGGGAATTCCTCTAAAGAAGAAATGCAGAAGACAGAAGTTTCCCTCTGATCTCAGATCTGTGTCACTGACTCCAAAAATCACCTCACTGTCCTCTGATCCTTAAAAGATAATATTGAAGGACACATGACATCAAGACTAACTATATTGATTTTGTTAGCTCACATGCTAGTTCTGTGATGAACAGTTCATATGTGCATGTCATTAAGAAAAAAAAATCAAGTTTGTCTTTGTAATCTAAAATTGAAATCTAAAATGCACTTCCTGTTTGATTTCAGTGTAATTCTCAGATCATGTCAGTCTGAGCTATTGGGCGTATCTAACATACTAAACCACACCCCTTCAGCTGTCAGTTTTAAAAACAAACAGAAATGGTGAGGAGGAGGAGTCTGTTAGGTTGTGATAACTCTCCCCAAACCCTTTTCCCCATATTTCTGAATGAAATGCCTCCTTGACTACATCCAATCAGCTTGCAGCAGAAAAACAAGCCACGCCCACCTTTTCTCATTTAATATTCTGTTTCTGTAGGAACTGCTTCACGTAGGGACAGTATACAGTTTTGACCCAAAGTATGACCAGATGTCTGTCAGATGAAGAAGAGCCGGAGTCAGAGATTCAAATAAAGTTTTCTGAAGATAGTCAGCAGCAGAAGCCAGCTTCAACATTCACAATGAGTTCCTAGGCCGCTCTGCTTACAATCACAAATCAATAACAATTAAACTCTCACATAACGTCATTAACTGCGTCACACATATAGGAGTTCTATCCTGATTGGTTAAAACACAGATAGACTAGGAAAATTTTCACATGGGACAATACACGTTCACGTTCTGAACAATATCTTAGGCATATAAACATCAGATATCCATTAGACTGTTTAGAGCTGACTCCAGACCTGTGAAACGGATCCACAATCAAATAGAACACACACACTTAAAGTACAATCTGTTATTTTACACAAGGCTGAGTGTACTGTCAGCCGTCTTTATCAAAACTGGTTAAAAACCGCTATAATCTACATTCTGGCAGTAACTACACAAAGTCTATCTTGAATAAAAAGTAGAATCACTTTATAAGAATTAACCGTAAAAATAGCAAAATCACTTTAGATAGCATTAACTCATAGAAATAACAAACAGTTGCTTCCAGTCCTCAGCCTCCGCACGAGGTCTCCGTGACCTCTGACCTAGTTTAGTGGCTCCTAAAAATAGTTTCAAAGAGAGGGGAAAATGCACTAAACATTCTTATATTAAGCAATGTGTTCACTTTATTCATTATTCAAATAATCATGTTAATAAAGAAATGAGAAAAGGATAAATGATGATCCACCCTAGGACTGACTGGAAGGCAGAAATCTCAATCCATCAGTCACAATACAAAAAAAAAAAGGCTGCCGCTTCTGGTTCATGTGGACTTTAAATGAGTAAACAGTGAGCGTGGCTTGTTTTTTTTCTACTGCGAACTGATTGGATGTAGTAAAGTAGGCATTTCATTCAGAAATAAAGCTAGTCTGGACCAAAAAGCTACTCATGAACACACCAAACGGATGAACAGCAACTAAAACAAAATCTGCGTCTGTGTGGGAGGTCGTTTCTTTCTGCATAAAAGAAACCCACAATGCTAAAATTGAAAAAATTAAATTAAATACTGAAAATAAAAACATGAAGGATAAATATTTTAACTAAGCGTTCTAACTGTACTGTATGAGCAATCCTGGATTGACTAATCGGGAGGACCGTTGAGCCAGTCCGTTTTTTGGCTGTGAGGGCCGGTGTGCCTAGCTGTTTGCACTCTCAGCAGTCGCACTTTTTTTCATTTATTTATTTATTTGACCATAGCTTCCTTTTATTCATTATTTTGCCGCAGCTCAGCTCTTTTTATTTATTTTCTCGCTGCCCTGTGAGCAACATGCAGCCTGCAGGATAATGATGATGTTAACAAATTCAACCGCAAACAGCGGCACCTTAGTGAATATAAGAATTTGAATAATTAATATTAATGAATATTACACCTGCTCAATGAAAATCAGATGATTAGAAATCTAAAAGGGGAATACGAGATTAAGCCATTGTGGTCCATTGGTCAGCACGTTGCGTTATGACGCCTCCGACCCAGGTTCGAATTTCGTCTAATTTATTTATTTTTTCATTTTTAGTATTAAGACATATAATACTGTTTGAATTGCTTATGTAGGTGTAAATATTTTAATTTTTTTTGTGTGACCACTGTTACAAAGGACTGAATATCCATAAAGAAATAAGCACAGAATATATATTCAGATATAGGAAAGGACATTTTAATGTTTTTAAAGAATAGTGTTGGAGATTTAGCTAGCCTTTATTGTTCTCACATTTATGAAAAGCATTTGAAGTTCATTCATTCATTCAATTTCTTGTTGGCTTAGTCCCTTTATTAATCCGGGGTCGCGACAACGGAATGAACCGCCAACTTATCCAGCAAGTTTTTATGCAGCGGATGCCCTTCCAGCCGCAACCCATCTCTAGGAAACATCCACACAAACATTCACACACACACACACACTACGGACAATTTAGCCTACCCAATTCACCTGTACCGCATGTCTTTGGACTGTGGGGGAAACCAGAGCACTCGGAGGAAACCCACACAAAGGTAGGGAGAACATGCAAACTCCACACAGAAATGCCAATTGAGCCAAGGTTCGAACCAGCGACCCAGCGACCTTCTTGCTGTGAGGCGACAGCACTACCCACTGTGCCACTGCCTCGCCGGTATATTTGAAGTTAATAGTGTCCTTTAAAACTTTAAATATATATACTATATACTTTGTCATTTATACTTTAATATAGTCAGTCTTGAACTGAGGTGGGCCGGTCTAAGGCTTGAAACTCCAGGACTAAAATGGAGTCCCACTCCGGCCCTGTGTATGAGTATCAAATTTTTCTAAAATACAAATAAAACTGTACATTTTTATTACTTAATAAAATCTAGCATTTTAATTATAATATATAAATCACTCTGCATTAAAAAAAATCACACTGCTGCTTCCAGGTCTCATTAGACTATATACAGTCAGAATTATTGTGATTTTCCTTTTTCAAATATTTCCCAAATGATGTTTAACAGAGCAAGGAATTTTTCACATTATTTTCTATAATGTTTTTTTTCTTCCGGAGAAAGTCTTATTTGTTTTATTTCAGCTAGAATAAAAGCAGTTTTAATTAAAAAAAAAAAAAAAAAAACATTTTAAGGTCAATATTATTAGCCCCTTTTACACACCACTGATATACAATGACTTACTGTACCTAATTACCCTAACTTGCCTAGTTAAGCCTTTAAATGTCACTTCAAGTCATAGGTTTATCTCCAGATCCATATTGTAAGTTCTGTGAACCACAGTGTCCAGACACCTTTTTACATATGATGTGGGAATGTGCGGAGGTGCAAAAACTTTGGGATTCGGTGCTGGACATTTTATTTAAAGTTACAAAAATTTGTTTCCCCAAAGATCCTGTATTGTTACTATTGAATGATAACTCTCAATTTCCCTTAAATGCAAAGGTCTGTAAATTTTGGTTAGCTGCTTCAACTGCTACAAAGAAAATGTTGGTTGAAAGGTGGAAACCTCCTCATGATCTCTCAGTTAAGCACTGGTTACAATCATTATTGGAAATACTGTATCTGGAACTGTCATCAGCATGGATCAACCATGCCAAAGTGGACATTCTTACGGTATGGACAATCTGTATATGCAACATCAAAGAAATCTTAGGACACTTCACCCTCATCTGATGCTACGGATGTCAACTTAATGTAAATTATCTAACAGCTTGGTCTAAACTATAGTTATTCTGTGTTTCCTGATGTGCGTATAATTGTTTGGGGAGATGGGGAATATATATGGGGTAATATCTGTTAAAAGTATTTTTCTATCTGATTGTAAAACATTGTATATTTTCATTTTCGGAAATAAAAACTGAATTACAAAAAAAAAAAAAAGTCACTTCAAGGTAAATACATACGTAGTCTAATATTATTTACTGTCATCAAGGCAAAGATAAAATAAATCAGTTATTAGACATGAGTTATTAAAACTATTATGTTTAGAAATGTTTAAAATCTTCTCTCCGGTAAACAAAAATTGGGGGAAAATATACAGGCGGGTTAATAATTCATAGGAACTAATAATTCTGACTTCAGCTGTATTTGGAAAAAGATTGAGATGCTCATAAATGGTGATAACATAAAGAAAAGCTTTTCACAGCTTTTTTTTTTTTTTTTGGCAAATTTTGCTTGCTGAGCAATGTCACTCGCTACGTGAAGTTTATTCATAAACTAATTTCGAGGGGATCACGTGCTTATGATTTATCATGGCCGGTCCCGTATTTGCTAATCACTATCTTCCAATCACATGAGCCCTAAGCTACTATAAATAACCACAGTTTTCAGCTCATTTTATCTTCGTTTGGAAGAAACCCCCCTCCTCCCCTATTCTCCTCCTTTACCTCTGATAGGGCGGCACGGCGGCAAGAACACTGCCGGCCCAGGTCCCTTAGGGCCGGTGGGTGTTTCTGTGAGGAGTTTGTATGTTCTCCCCGTGTCCAAAGACATTCAACACGTATAACAATCAAGCATTTGTCTAACCCCTCAGTTCCCTTAGCTACCGCAGTCGGGGAGTTCTGAGATCCACCGAGCTCAGGCTCCCCTCTCTCTCTGCCAACGGGAGGAAGCCCCGGGCTTGAGAATCCCTTGAGCTCGGGGCTCTCTCCCGGGACAGCATGCCAAACAAGCTTTTATAAATCATCAGCTAAGTGTGAACTCTTGAAAGGGTTTAAAAGGAATTTCTATAACCTCAAGATGACTCCACATGTTGTAAAAAAACAAATATGGTACATCGCTGTGATGAATTTACCAGCTATTTGCATTTTGGATTTTACTTTCTTAAAGCCGACGCACAGATGTTTCCTGACAAAAACAGAAGTAATGACTGAACTCTCCCTGGAGGATCTTTTACGTCACTTCAACTGAAGTCTCTTTCTAAACCAGGGGTCACCAATCTTGTTCCCGGAGGTCCGGTGGCCTGCAGGGTTTAGCTCCAACTTGCCTCAACACACCTGTCTGGGTGTTTCAAGTATACCTAGTAAGAGCTTGATTAGCTTGTTCAGGTGTGTTTGATTAGGTTAGAGCTAAAATCTGCAGGACACCGGCCCTCCAGGAACAAGTTTGGAGATCCTTGAACCCACCAACTTGATCAAATGAATAAAAAGCATGGCATATGTGGCTGATTATGATATCTATAACCATCACTTACTCCCACATTCACATCTGAAGATCCTAAGCAGCACCGAAAACAGCAGAAATGCCTCATTTGAGTGTGTTTCTGGAGGTGTTCAAGCACAGATCCTGGGTGTGTGTTTGATCAGATGATCAGGAACCGCATGATTAACCTGCACTCCTTCTTCTAACATCTAAATCTGCTTCTGATATTAGTGTCGAATGAAGATCTAGCGTCCGTCTATAGTGTTTTTCAGGACATTGACATCACTGCCGACACCAATGGGACTGGTAAATATTATTATCATTACTACACTATATACTGCTGGTTAATACGTTTATATACTGCCAACCAGTGTTGGGTGTAATTAGTTAACTACTAATTATTATTAACTGTAAAAAATGATTAGTTAATTATTAGTTATTGTGTGATGTTTTCTGTTTATTTACGGCTGTGAATTGCAGTATGGGATGTTGATCTCTGCTCTGTCGACTTTTGATGGTGAAAATTCAACTCTACAGTGTAACAAAGTGACTTATTGACATCTTAGTAGTTTGATTTAATATAACGAAATAATATATAGAGAAATAAGTCTGTAAAATAACAGAAAAAGTCAGAAATTCACATCAATATATGGTATGTGGGAAATATTGTGTCATTGCTTTTAAATATTTGTGTTTTGATATATAATGTTTATATTAAGTATTACATTTAGCTAAAAGGTTGTGTTTGGCTCTGATTTAAAAAAAATTATAAGAGTTTAATTTCTATTGTCATTGAGATTTACAGTTGAAGTCAGAATTATTAGCCCCCTTTTGATTTTTTTTTTCTTTTTTTAATATTTGCCAAATGATATTTAACAGAGAAATGAAATTTTCACAGTATGTCTGATAATATTTTTCCTTCTGGAGAAAGTCTTATTTGTTTTATTTCGGCTAGAATAAAAGCAGTTATTAATTTAAAAAAATATATTTTTAGGACAAAATTATTAGCCCCTTTAAGCTATTTTTTTTTTCCGATAATCTACAGAACAAACCATCATTATACAATAACTTGCCTAATTACCCTAACCTGCCTAGTTCACCTTATTAACCTAGTTAAGCCTTTAAATGTCACTTTAAGCTGTATAGAAGTGTCTTGAAAAATATCTAGTAAAATATTATTTACTGTCATCATGACAAAGATAAAATAAATCAGTTATTAGAAACAAGTTTTTAAAACTATTATGCTTAGAAATGTGCTAAAACAATATTCCCTCCATTAAACAGAAATTGGGGAAAAAAATAAACAGGAGCGCTAATAATTCAGGGGGGCTAATAATTCTGACTTCAACTGTATGTGTAGTGCATTTATGCGTTGAATTTTAAGTTGTGTTGAGTCAAGTAATTTAATAACTCATTGAGTAACTTTTTACATTGCAAAAAATGCTTTTCTTACTTAGATTTTTTGTCTTGTTTCAAGTCCTAATATCTACAAATTCTTAAATCAAGTAGCATTTTCTAGACAAGCAAAACATATTGTCTTGTTTTAAGAAATAATATGCCAAAATGAAGTGAGTTTTTCCTTAACTCAAGCTAAATAATCAGCCAATGGGGTAAGCTAAATAATCTTGTTTTTGGATTTGTGCTATGATTATTTTGCTTACCGCATTGGCAGATTATTTAGCTTGAGTTAATATTTCAGAAAAAACGCAAAAAAATTACATGAAAATGTAGAAAGACACTGAAAAGCATTACAGAAAGTCTGAGTGCAACAGCATGTTTTTCCTCAGAATTAAGAGATTTTATCTTCTAATTCAGAGGTAAAATTAAGAATAATAAAAAAAATAAACAGAATTCTAGTTTTTATTTAGTGACTTTTTCTCTTTCTTAATCTGAGTTTAAAATCTTACAATTCTGATGGGAATAAAGTAAGAATTTTGAGTGTATATTTTATATTTTCCGCAAAAATTCCTCAGAATTCCTTTATTTATTTTTGTTTTGTTAAAATCCTAAATAAAATAAAACATGTTAGCTATGATGAAGCTAATTATCTGCCAGTGAAACTACAACAAAACCATTGGAAGCCTTTTCTGCCATTAATAAATTATAAACAAAAGGTCAATTGTTATTTATTTATGCTTTTTTTTAAAATTGTGATTAATTCACCAGTTTAAAACATTTAGATTTTTTTTTAGATTAGATTAACTTCAACTTTATTGTCATTACATATTGACAAGTACAACGCAACGAAAGACAGTTTAGGTCTAACCAGCAGTGCAATAGCAGCAAGAGCAGGAAACAGGTACACTGCAAAAAATGCCTTTCTTACTTAGATTTTTAGTCTTGTTTCTAGTCCAAATATCTTAAAATTCCTAAATCAAGAAGCATTTTCTAGACAAGAAAAACATATAGTCATATAGGTAACATATAGTCATATATAAAACATATAGGTGAGTTTTTCCTTAAAACAAGCAAAATAATCTGCCAATGGGGTAAGCAAAATAATCTTACGTCAAAAGAAAAAACAAGATTAATTTGCTTACCCCATTGGCAGATTATTTTGCTTGTTTTAAGGAAAAACTCACTTAACATTGGCATTTTATTTCTTAAAACAAGACAATATGTTTTGCTTGTGTACAAATGCTTCTTGATATAAGAAATTTTAGATATTTGGACTAGAAACAAGACAAATAATCTAAGCAAGAAAAGCATTTTTTGCAGTGATATATAAGTTATAAAGTGCAGTTATAGAAAAACTATAGTCATATTTACAGATGGATGTGCTATGAACATTATATACAGATTGTATTAGCTATGAACAGATTTACAATAAATTAATATATGTACAGGTTGCTATTAATAATCAGAAGAGTGCAGATATATAGACATAAGTGGTTTATTATTAAACAAATTTCTTATGATTGTTCACAGCTGTTCCAACTTTAGCTAATGACTAGTTATCCTATCAGACGATCCTTAACTCACTATAAATAACCAGACTTTTCTCATCTCAATATTTTCGTCTTGAAGAACCAACGGGAGGGAACCCAGGGCTCGAGGATCTTATTAGCTCAGGGCTCTCTCCCAGGACAGCACGCCAAACTAGCTTTATTATCAATCATCAGCTAAGTGTAAACTCTTGAATTACAAATATATATGTACAGTGGGTGTGTACATAATTACAAATGTCCACGTGCAGTGGGAATGTACAGTTCAAATTAGTAAATCAGTGCAATGAATATGTGCACTTTTAAATGTGCAAATGTTAAATAGTGCAGTGATTGTGAGGAGTTTAAGTTAGAGGAGAGTGGGGGGTATATTTGGGAGGCAAAACAGTCAGTGAGGGGCAAAGTTCAAAAGGGAGACAGCTCTGGGGAAAAAGCTGGTCCTCATTCTGCTGGTTTTTGTCTGGGGGAGCCTGAAGCGCCTGCAGGAAGGCAGGAGAGTAAACATTCTGTGAGCAGGGTGAGAGGAATCCTTAAGAATACTGCGTGATAATATTTATGAGTACTTTAGTAACACATACAGTATAAGCTTTTATTTTTAATTGATGCACAAGGGTAGTTGATTGTTTTCTCTCTCTCTTTTCTCAGAATAACTCTCATCTCAAGCTGTACCCCGGAGACATTCTGGAGTTTCCCGGCAACAGCTTCTTTTCTCACTATGGAATTTACTACGGTGAAAGAGACGGAGTTCCTTACGTGGCTCATCTGACCATCAGAGGTGAGTCTGTGCGATATTTTCAAGATCAAAATCTAAAGTCATTCAGTCGTCTTGATGTTTTGCACTGAATCTTCAAGACTCTGACACCAGACTGCTTCTCTTCGGCCGAGCCCTGAACGCCGCAGTGAAGCTCGACCCGCTCGACGTCGTCGGAAAGAAATTCAGAGTCAAAAACTACCTGGACGACAAGCATCCTCCACGAGACTTTTACTCCATCATCAAGCCGGAGATCGAGCACAGCATGACCAAACCCGTGACCTTCGACATTCTCTTCAACAACAGCGAACATCAGGCCACCATGTTTCGAAACGGGGTCAAAAAGTCCGAGCAGGTGAGAAACACTTTCTAAATATGATTAAGCATTTAATGGGGTATATGCACAGGGACTTTTATTTTTCAGTCAGCCAGCCCTTCCCGTGAAAATCGCCACGTTTAAGATCTGATTTCTTGAAAAATCAGTAATCTTCACTGCCTGATTTATATATGATAAACTCACAGGCCACTTTATTAGATACACCTTACTAGTACCGGGTTGGACCCCTTTTATCTTCAGAACAGCCTTAATCCTTCATGGCAGAGATTCAATAAGGTACTGGAAATATTTCTCAGAGATTTTTGCTCCATATTGACATGATAGCATCATGCAATTGCTGCAGAATTGTCGGCTGCACATCCATCATGCCAATCTCCTGTTCCACCACATCCTAAAGGTGCTCTAATGGATTGATGTGTGGTGACTGTGGAGGCCATTTGAGTACAGTGAACTCATCGTCATGTTCAAGAAACCAGTCTGAGAGGATTCGCACTTTATGACATGGTGCATTATCCTGCTGGAAGTAGACATCAGAAGATGAGTACACTGGGGTCATTAAGGGATGGACATGGTCAGCAACGATACTCAGGTAGGCTGTGGCGTTGACACATGAGCCCAAAGTGTGCCAAGAAAATATTCCCCACACCATTACACCACCACCACCAGCAGCAGCCTGAACCGTTGATACAAGGCAGGATGGATCCATGCTTTCCTGTTGTTGATGCCAAATTCTGACCCGACCATCTGTATGTCACAGCAGAAATAGAGACTCATCAGACCAGGCAACGTTTTTCCAATCTTTTATTGTCTAGTTTTGGTAAGCCTGTGAGAATTAACCTCAATTTCCTGTTCTTAGCTGACAGGAGTGGCACCCGGTGTGCTCTTCTGCTGCTGTAGCCCATCCGCCACAAGGTTGGACATGTTGTGTGTTCAGAGATGCTCTTCTGCAGATCTAAGTTGTAGCGAGTGGTTATTTGAGTTACTGTTGCCTTTCTATCAGCTGGAACCAGTCTGGCCATTCTCTTCTGACCTCTGGCCTCAACAAGGAATTTGTGCCCACAGAACTGTCTCTCACTGGATATTTTCTCTTTGTCAGACCATTCTCTGTAAACCCTAGAGATGATTGTGTGTGAAAATCACAGTAGATCAGCAGTTTCTGTAACACTCAAAGTCACTTAAATCCCCTTTCTTCCCCATTCTGATGCTCAGTTTGACCTGCAGCAGATCGTCTTGCTTGATGTCTACATGCCTAAATGCATTGAGTTGCTGCCATGCAATTGACTGATTAGAAATTTGGGTTAACAAGCAGAAACCAAATTGAAAAGTCATGTAAACCTTCACAGGAAGTTTATTGTTGGCTGAAAAACACGAGCTGTGCATATAGCCCATTGGTATGTCTGTTTTGTCAGTGTGTGAAAGTAAAATTGGTAACACTCTGGGGTGGATAAATAAAAACCTAAAAGTATCAAATATACAGTTGAAGTCAGAATTATTAGTCCCCTTTGAGTTTTTTTTCTTATTTAAATAATTCCCAAATGATGTTTAACAGAGCAAGAACATTTTCGCAGTATGTCTGATCATATTTTTTCTTCTGGAGAAAGTCTTATTTGTTTTATTTTGGCTAAAATAAAAGCAGTTTTTAATTTTTAAGGTCAAAATTATTAGCCCCTTTAAGCTATATTTTTATTCGATAGTCTACAGAACAAACCATCGTTATACAATAACTTGCCTAATTACCCTAACCTGCCTAGTTAACCTAATTACCCTAGTTAAGCCTTTAAAAGTCACTTTAAGCTGTATAGAAGTGTCTTGAAAAATATCAAGTATTATTTACTGTCATCATGACAAAGAGAAAATAAATCAGTTATTAAAAATGAAATTGGGCAAATAATAAACAGGGGGGCTAATAATGCTGACTTCAACTGTATAATTATATGCAAACAAATAAAATTATGTCATTTTTACATTCGTACAAATTTGTCCCCCGCCCTATTCATGGATCAGTGCAGTAGTCAAATCAGAAGGAATAAAAAATTAGTAATATAAAAAAGAGACAACAAAATAAATAATCAATTTATAACACAAAGGGTGCATATTAGGACTGTTGGTTGGAATTGCTTAGGGTCCCGGAATCCCTAAATGCGCGCCTGGTACTAACACTCAGAGCTGGGTAGAAACCGATTATACAAAATCTAGATTACGCGAGTCCAGATATTAAGTACTTGTAATTAGAGTAAACTACTTTTTCAAATACTTGCAATCTGACTACACTAGTTGTACACTACGGTCAATTTCTTTCATTCATTTTTCTGCTGTTTAGTCCCTTTATTTATCAGGCGTCGATGCAGCGGAATGAACCGCCAACTTACCCAGCATATGTTTTACGCAGCAGATGCCCTTCCAGCTGCAAACCAGTACTGGGAAACACCCATACACACTCATAGACTACGGCCAATTTAGTTTATTTAATTCAGCTATAGCGCATGTGTTTGGACTGTGGGAGAAACCGAAGCAGCCAGAGGAAACCCATGCCAATAAGGGGAGAACATGCAAACTCCACACAGAAATGCTAACTTGCCCAGCCGGGTCTCAAACCAGCAACCCTTTTGCTGTGAAGCGACAGTGCTAACCACTGAGCCACTTTGTCACCCATGTTTGAGTTGGAATAAAATAATATGGAGGTCCACTGTTACCTGTTTCTAACATATTTTAACCTTCTATCTTTTATCCAATATTTTTTATATTCTTTTGCGTTCAAAAGAGGAAAACATCTCCTGAAATCTGACTAGTAAATGAGAGCTGACTTGAACTAACAATAGCCTTTGTTTTGATAGCCGTTCATTAATCTTTACTAATGCTGTGTTGTATGTTCTTTAAGTGCATTAACTAAAATTGACAAATACAATGTCTGACTTCAATAATACATTAGCAAATGTTGAAATTGACTAATGTTTACTTGTGTAGATGACTAACGTTAGTGAAAGGATTATTACTGGTATGTGTTGTAGGACTTTCCACTCTCATTATAAAATGTCATTAGGTTGTTTGGGGGAAATAACATTGTCAGTCGAGAGCTTTCAATTAACATTTTTGAATGTCGTTTTCAGATCGAAAAAGTTTATTCCAAGATAGTTCCCACCTGGAAAGACTTATTTGAGAAGAGAAAGATTTAAGAGACGCATGATGCTGAATGAAGACACAGAAACATGCTTTCTTTTGAGATTTTGCCAAAACAATGAATCAAATGAAGAGGTTGAATCATCTAAATTAAAGTGTAGCCTCATTATAATCTGTGTTTTTGTATCTGAATATGTTTTATTATTTTGGAGATGAATGTGTTATGTCCGTCTCTCTCCAGAAGATGGCAGCAGATAAAACAGGTCTGCATTGGGTTTAGAATAAACGATGTACACTGTGCCAACAAATGTCAGATTATTTACATTAAACCAACAAAATGTTGTTTGTATATTTTGTAAAACTGGGTTTAATTACTTAGAAAGAAATGTAGTAGGTTGTAGTACTGTTAGTAGTATGTAGTACTGTTTTTCCCATTTAGAACCGGATCTTAATGAGAAATTAAATGTCTCTGGTCTTATAGATTTATATAAATGTGATGTTTTTAATCTACATTTATTCATTCTAATTAACCAAAATTTGTGTTAAATTGTAATGTTTTTAAAGAGTGTTTATTAAATGTTTAATAAAATGACTTAAATGAAATCTTGTTTTTTGGTTTTTCCACAAGTCTGAAGTTGTAATGCAGTGCTGACTTATATATTGTATTTTTTTACCTCTGAATTCTGAGTTTATTTTTTCTAGTTCTGTCTTTTTAACCACTGAATTCTGAGGAAAAACATCAGAACTGTAAGACAAACTCCGAACTCAGAGGTAAAAAAAAAAAGTTAGAAATGCTAGAACTAAACCGAATTTACAGATAAAAATGTCAGAACTGCAAGTAATAGACTCAGAATTCAGAGGGTAACAAAAAAAGTCAGAATTGCAAGAAATAAACTCAAAAATCAGAGGTAAAGAAAAGTCAGCACTGCAAGAATTAAACTCAGAATTCAGGTTGAAAAAAACGTCAGAAATAAACTCGGAATTTACAAAAAAAAAAAAAAAAAAAGAGTTAGAATTGCTAGAACTAAACTGAATTTAGAGGTAAAAATGTCAGAACTGCAAGAAATAAACTGAATTCAGAGGGTAAAAATAAAGTTAGAAATGCTAGAACTAAACAATGATATCAGAGGTTAAAAAAGAGAAGGGGGAAATTTGAATTGCAAGTAATAACTCAAAATTGGGTTAAAAAAAAGGTCAGACTAAAAGAACTAAACTATAAATTCAGCGGTAAAAATGTCAGAAATGCAAAAAAAAAAAAACCAGCAACTCAGAATTCAAACGTTTTAAAAAAGTCACAAATGCAAGAAACGAACATCAGAACTTTAAGAAATAAACTCAAAAATCAGAGGTAAATATAAATGTCAGCACTGCATGAAATAAACTCAGAATTCGGGGGTGGGGGGGGGGAGTCAGAATTGCAAGAAATAAACTCAAAATCAGTCACAGAAAAAAATAGTCAGAAATGCAAGAAATAAACGGAATTTAGAGGTTAAAAAAGTTAGAAATGCAAGAACTAATATGAATTCAGAGATAAAAATGTCAGAACTGCAAGAAATAAACTGAATTCAGAGGGTAAAAATAAAGTTAGAAATGCTAGAACTAAACTAAGGATTTAGAGGTTAAAATTAAAGTTCGAAATGCTAGAAATAAACTGAATTCCGAGGTAAAGAAAAAGTCAGAACTGCAGGAAATAAGCTCATAATTCAGATGTTAATAAAAAGTCACAACAGCAAGAACTACTCTAAATTCAGAGGGGGGAAATCTGAATTGCAAGTATAAATACTCAAAATTGGGTAAAAAAAAAAGAAGTCAGAACTAAAAGAAGTAAACTCAGAATTCAGAGGTAAAAAGTAGTCGGAAATGCAAGAAATAAACTCAAAACCAATAATAAAAAAAAAGATGTCAGGAATTCAAGAAATAAATTTACATTCAGAGGTTAAAAAAGTCAGAATTGCAGGAAATAAACTCTGAATTCTGAGATTATAATTTGCTGTTCTGACTTTTTTTCTTAATATTTCTGAGTTCCTGTGATTCCTGTGTTCCCCTTTTTGGCTTACTTCAGAATTCTTGGTTTATTTCCTGCTTTAAGGTAATTTCTTGCCATAAAAAAATCCTTTATATTTTGCGATTCTGGCTTTTCCCTCAGTGTATATTTTGAGAAGCTGACTTTTGAGGTATCCTCAAATATGAAATCCATGACTTGTTTGAAAATACACAAAAGAGGTGCAATCTGGCACCAGCAGAGGGCGACAAACCCTCATGGCAGATCATCTGTTTTCTGTATTTTGGGTGATTTCAGGGTTGACAGCAGAGCATAGAGGACTACAGCAGGTGTGAGGGGGTCAGTTCCCTAAATAAAGACTTTAAAAGGTCATAAGAAAGTCTAAAATATCAACATAAAAGGACGTTATTTGTAAAGAGGAAGTAAGATATTTATTGCCTGCATAAGACTTCATTAGTCGTTAAATAGCCTACATAAGAAAGGCAGTAACATACACATACCAGTGAGTTTATGATTGTGATAATATATTAAAATATGATATAACAAATCAATACTAATTTATTAAAAAGAATATGATACTGTTATTTTTGTAATAATGTTAAACCAAAATAATAATAAAAAATAAAAAGATCCTTATTGGTACTAAAAGGCACACACATTACAAAATACTCTAGTAATTCATATACGACTATGTTGTAATTAATTATATAGTTAAGTGTATTATACTGTATACAACTTTTTGTTAAAAAGTGCTACATCATACTGCAGTATTAACTATAGCAAACTGATATACTAATAAATACTATACTTTAGGGTTTACTATAAAAACAGGGTGTGTTGTAGTATAGTTGTAGAGAATTTAGTACAGTAATAGTCATTTCTTCATTACTATAGTTGTATTAGCATATCAATTATAAAATTACCACAAAAATAAATTTAAGTTGTCCTACTTTACAATAGTAGGCTATACTTCAAAATTTGTTCAAGTATTTCCTGTAAATTATAGTACTTTCATATGGGCAAATATTGCCTGTTGATTAATTATAATTAAAAATGATTAACTATTACATAAATGTGATGAAAATAAACTAAAATATCAACACAGCTTGACACTTGCTGATATGTAATTGGCAGCTTTACAAAAACAGACTACCATTTAGCTAGCAGGCTAGCGGCTAATGTGGCTACTTACCATACAGACGACATACGAGCAATTATGTTTCTGCAACCATCTCACATCGATTTACGTACTAAATTCAGCATAAATTTGGGAATATTAAGCTATGAATGTTTTAAAACACTTAGCACAGACATCAACAAACTCACAGTGATGGCCACTTTGTTTCTAATTGCTCCGTGACTGGATTACGCCCGCCAAAATTCTCTGATTAACAGGATTTATCAGAAGACTTCGACAGAGTGTAAGTTTTATAACTAGCTTCATATTTACACATCATTTTTCAGACATAAAACATTTTGTATTAAATGTGGAAAAGCTTAGCTATTGTTTATTTTCAGAGATAATGGCGTCAGAACAGTCGGAAGTCGGAAGGAAAGTGTCAAGTCTAGGTATAGCTGCGGATAGTCACATAGGAGAATTTTAGTAACATTGAACAGCAATAATTCATATTTTTTCTGTAAGGGGTAGGTTTAAGGTTGGGGTGGGGGTGAATTTTAATAAAGTACAACTTAATGGGTAATTTAATAAATAATATGAATACCCTGAAAAATCCAGCTTAAACCAGCCTAGGCTGGTTGGCTGGTTTTAGCTGGTTGACCAGCCTGGTTTAGAGGGGTTTTGGCCATTTCCAGGCTGGTTTCCAGCCATTTCCAGCCTAGTTTTAGCTGGTCAGGCTGAAAAATGACCAGCTTAATCCAGCTAAAACCAGCTTGACCAGCCTGGTTTAAGCTGGACATAGCTGGTTTTGGCTGGGCTCTCAGCCTGGCTAGGCTGGTCAAGCTGGTTTTAGCTGGTCATCTCCCAGCCTGATCAGCTAAGACCAGGCTGGAAGTGGCTGGAAACCAGCCTGGAAGTGGCCAAAACCCCTCTAAAACCAGCCTGGTCCACCAGCTAAAACCAGCCAACCAGCCTAGGCTGGTTTAAGCAGTTTTTTTCAGTGGGGTAACATTCTGTGTAGTGGCTGTTTTTACATTTCTGTGAGGGGGAGATTTAGGGTTGGGGTAGGGGTATATTAATAAAATACAATTTACTTGGTAATTGAATAAATAAAATGAATAATTCTCTGTGTAGTCGCTGGTTTTATATTTCTGTGAGGGGGATGTTTAGGGTTGGCATGGGGATAAATGTTTATAAAGTACAATTTAATGGGCAATTTAATAAATAATATGAATAATACTCTGTATAATAGCTATTTTTACATTACTGTAATGGTTAATATTAGCATTGGGATAGGGGTAGACGTTGATAGAGTATAATTAATGGGTAATTTAATAAATAATATGAATAATACTCTATAATAGCTGTTTTAACATTACTGTGAGGGGGAGGTTTATGGTTGGGGTGGGGCTAATCTTTAATAAAATACAATTTCATGGGTAATTCAATAAATAATAAAATAATATTCAGTATAATAGCTGTTTTTACATTTCCGAATGAACTTCCGGCCACAGCTGTATCCCTTCTAGCAACAACCAGTCGAAAGTTCTCAGAGGATCCCCCTTCAAACGAATAGTTACACAACTATAAAATAAAACACTGAGACAGTGAAAGTACACTAATGACAAACCTTTTGACTCCAGGTCTGTGTAGCTGTGACTTTAATAACTAGATCAATAAACCTCAAGCTCTCCAGACACCATCAAACAAGAGAAGAGCAGACCTACTTCAAATCTTGATTACTTCTCAGAAAAATCAGCAGGCTTCTGTGAATCATTCTCAAGATCACGCCAAACAGAAAACACTATTTTACCATATATATATATATATATATATATATATATATATATATATATATATATTTAGAGAGACATAAAGACGGACCACAGGCCTACTAAATGAGCTTATTGAAACAGATATTATTGTCTGTGACTGACAATGAATTTCATTACTAAAGGATCTTTTTAAAACAAAAATACATTTTGAAGCATGATTAACTGAGTAAAAACAAGTCTACATTAATTAAAAGTCAGTTGTGATTGTGACAAGATGCAAATATGATTACTGGAAAGTCATATCAGATCATATAAACATATTCAGCATTTGTTGTCTCGCCGCCCGACCGTCCCCGTTTTCTGTCCCCCCGTTTTCTGTATAAGCACACACACATAGACACACAGCATCAAGCAAGCGACACAAGGCATCACGCTCTCTTTCACTCACTCACTCACTCACTCACTCACTCACTCACTCACACAAACACACACACACATAGACAGCACCAAGCTCTCTCTCTCATTCAGACACACACACAAAGACAGCAACAAACAAGCTAAACACAGCATCACGCTCTCTCATTCACACACATACGCTCGGGAGCAATATGATTAGACTGCCCGCTCTCGTTCAAATTACACCAGTTACTGACCGCTCCCGCGCTTTATTCAGAAATTTATT